TGAAAGAACAACACACGTGTAGTAAAAAGGTAGTATACTAATTTTCTGACGATAAAAAGCATAAGCAACGCTGGGAGAAGGTAAAAATCGATATGAAATACGTATTTTTTCTATGTAATTAGTGAAATGTGACAAGTCGACTATTCAGAGTCGCACACTTGTTACACTGTAAAAACACTAGTGTATATACATTAAATCATCAGTGACTGTTGCCAGTCAATCAAACAACATAAGCAACTTGTTACAGAAACAGTCTCTATCACAAAAATATTCCACATAGTGAATATAAAAAAGATACACTACAAGACAACTTCAACCGTTATATCTAAGAACAAATCGTCGACAACAGATTCATTCACTGCCACAGTGCTCTCTGATCGAGACTCGACTGCAACAGTGAAAAGCGACCAAGACAATTCAGTATTGCATGAAACTAAACAACAAATGTCATTGAAAACAACGACAGATAAACATTTTTCCTCTGATAAAGATGCAGTCAAAGAAACATCGATAAATCCACAGCCATCATTACCAGCAGTCATTGCGCACAAAAACACGGAAGGGCTGATTTCCGGCGTCCCAAGCACTGATTCAGCAACAAACAGTAGCTTTATCGAAGATGGCAAGATCTGCGAATGGTCAAGTTCTTCTACAGTACCGCCTAATAACATCATATCTGGAGAGCATTTACTACAGACTTTTGTTCTCGTCTGGTTGGACTTAAACATGAACGAATCAGACGGTGTTTTTGGTAATTCTCTGACACACTTGCGACGTATTGTTAACAATATCAGCACGTTCACCAACCGTACACAGTGTCTCAATTTTCTAAGCCAAATTAAAGATGTTAAAGTGCTGATGATTGTATCAGGTGCTCTATGCGAAGTGATTGTACCTGAAGTTCATGCCATGACTCAGCTTGATTCTATTTACTTGTTTTGTGATAGCATGACACATTATGAACTATGGGCAAAGGATTGGTTAAAGGTGAAGGGAGTGTTCACCGAAATCGATTCTCTCTGTAAATCATTGAAAGAAACTATAGATCAATTCGATCAAGATTCTGTCTCCATCAGTATTATGTCGGCGGATGCCGCGTCCAAAAACAATATAGACGAGTTAGATGCATCGTTCATGTACACACAATTACTCAAGGAAATTCTGCTTGAAATCGACTACGATGAAAAGTCTGTTAAAGATCTTCTCGTCTACTGTCGTAAACTCTACGCTACCGATATGAAAGCATTGGGAACTATTACCATGTTCGAGCAAGAATATTGTTCGGGGAAAGCCATCTGGTGGTATACGTACGAGTGCTTTCTCTATCGTATGCTCAATAAGGCTCTGCGCAATCTGGAAGTAAACAACTTAATTAAGCTTGGGTTCTTCATCCGTGATCTACATCGACAGCTCGAAATTGAACACAAGAAGCAATTCGTTGATAAACAGAGAAAATCATTTACTGTTTACAGAGGTCAAAGCGTGTGTAATGCAGACTTTGAAAAAATTCTTAAAGCGCCGGATGGACTTATGTCATTTAACATTTTTATGTCGACTAGTGAAGAGAAAAACGTTGCTCTCACATTTGGAAAAGGTGGAGCTAAGCCTGGATATGTTGGCATTCTTTTTGAAATGACAATCGATACATCGATTACGTCCTCTCCTTTTGCCCTCCTGGACGACCTCAGCTACTTCAAAGACAAAGAGAAAGAAATTCTCTTCTCCACACATACGGTTTTCCGCATCAGAGAAATAAACCCAATTGTGGAAGGCAACCTGCGGTGGCACATTCTACTCACTTTAACGCACGATAACGATCCGCATCTCAACGCAGTCACCCAATGCATGCGAAAGGAGACCGAAGGCTCAACAGGATGGCACCGACTGGGCATATTACTGGTTAAAGTAGGCGAATATAGCAAAGCTGAAGACGTTTATAAGGAATTGCTTAATGGAATGACGCTAGACGAAAGTGAGGAAGCATATCTCAATCATCAACTAGGTTGGACGAAACGTAAACAGGGCGATTATGAGGAAGCATTACGATACTATGAAAAAGCACGGACGATTCGTCAGAAAATTCTGCCTGCACATCACTCCGATTTTGTTCATTCGTACAATCATATCGGTGATGCATATAAAGGTATGGGTAACTACTCGGAAGCACTTTCTCATTATGAGAAAGCACTTCAAATCTGCGAGAAAACTCCTCTTCCAAATCAACTTCAGCTGGCAACTTGCAATAACAATATCGGTGATTTGTATAACGATATGACCGAGTACTCGAAAGCACTGTCGTATTATAAAACAGCACTCGAAATTCGCCAAGAAATTCTGCCTCCGAACCATCCCGATTTGGCCACTTCCAGCAATAATATCGGTGATGCGTACAGTAACATGGGCGAGTACTCTGACGCACTTCCATATTATAAAAAAGTACTCGAAATCAGCTGGAAAACCCTTCCTTCAAATCATCCCGATTTTGCTACTTTCTATAGCAATATTGGTGTGATGTATGACAATATGGGTGAATACTTACAAGCACTTTTATATTATGAAAAAGCCCTTGAAAACTCGAAAGTCTCGCTACCCGAGTATCATCCCAACTTCGTTAATTTTTACAACAATATCGGTCTAGTGCATTTCAGCATGGGCGAGTTTTCGAAAGCACTTCCATACTACCAAAATGCGCTTGACATCTGCAAAAAATCTCTCCCAGAAAACCATCCTAGCTTGGCTACTTCCTACAACAATATCGGTATGGTTTATTTGAAAAGGCGCGAGTACTCAGAAGCACTTTCGTATTACAAAAAAGACCTTGAAATAAGCAGTAAAAATCTTCCCCCTAATCATCTCGATCTCGGTCCTACCTATAATAGCATTGGCCACGTACATTTTGAAATGAACCAGTACTTAGAAGCACTGCCATATTATGAAAAAGCGCTTGAAATATGCGAGAAAGCTCTTCCTTCAAATCATCCAATTTTGGCCAAATGCTACAGGAATATCGGCAGTGTATATAGCAGCACCGGCGATTACTCAAAAGCGCTTTCATATTTACAAAAAGGACTTGAAATTCAGGAAAACAATCGTACGCAAAATCTTCCTGATTTGGCCTCTTCTTACGACAGATTCGGCGTATTATATAAACGTATGGGCGAGCATTCGAAGGCACTGCTATACTACGAACGAGCAGTGGAATGTGCACAAAGATCATTACCTGAAGATCATCCAGATCTTCAGATGTATAAGAAGAATCTTGAGGATATCAAACATCCTTAAGAATTTTCTTGGCGTAAAACGAAAGCGAATTTATATTAAATACATATTTTTTCGAAGCATTATATTATGGAACGGTTATCATTACACATTGAATGCAAAAATATTCGCAAACTTTTTGGGATAATATTGTGCCAAAAATGATGAAAATATGACAAGAACTCTGCTTTTTCTTTCTTTTTCAAGTATTTTGTCGCTCAATAAATCCTTTGACACATTCATTTTTTCTCAAACTGAAAGCTACTATTATCCATTTCAAAATGGAATGCAGTCGGTTGCATGTTTGATAACGCAAGAACGGAAGCAGCTAGAGACCTGCGATATTCGCCAATAGAAAGAGAAATCGAAACTCGAAAGATTTTTTTTATGTCTGAACTATCTATCCAATGCTTGACTAGTGATCAAACTTTTCGGTTTCGGTGAGAAAGTTTTCTTCTCGTTGGCTTTTAAAATAGAACGTGGTCGACTGTGTAGGCTACTTTGCTCTGGATAAGACCTACATGCATGCTTTGTGTTGCTTTAGCAGCAGCAGCAGATATCCAATTGGACCTTTCCCAAATTGAAGCAGCTTATGCAGTTGACTATGTCCTAATTAAAACTCGGCAAGATGAAAACTTTCAAGTTGATATCGGAAAAGTTTGATCACTGGTCAAGCACTGGACAAATAGTTCAAACATAAAAAACAACATCAATCTGTAAAGCTTTGATTGTTCTTTCTGCTGGCGAAAATCACAGGTTGCTAGCTGTTTTCGTTCTTGCGTTATTAAATATGCAACCGACTGCACTCTACTTTGCAATCAATAATTGTGGCACGTTTCACGTGTCCCTACTCGCGTCAAAATCTTTTAAGGAGTTCTTGATCTTTTGCTCTCTCCATACAGAAGATCAAGAATATTTTATAGCTCTACCACACATTACTAAAGATATGCTTCTATTCTCTAAACATCAGAACCCGAAAAATTAAACAAATCATCTCACGCTAGTGCAAATTATTCAAATATTGCGGAAATATTGCGATCACCATCTATTCTTAGTCATCCGTTGTTTATGTCTATGTCAATATTTTTGGTACAGCTCGTCTTGTACCATTCCTTCAGCGATTCATAATCAATAGATTGATTATATAGACAGAGGTGTCACAAGCGCGAAGAAGGAGGAGAAGAGGTAAGGTGATGGGTCCGGACTCCCACTTTCGAAAAATTTTCGATTTTCTCCAACTTCGCTGGAGAAAAATAGATTCGTTTTCTGTTTTCATGACAACTACCGCGAGCCACTTCCGCCTAAAATAAAGTTGATACTTCGCGTCAGCCCTGCAGACAGGCATGAACATGAGCCCAATCGAATCGAGATGCAATCAAAAGGCTAGCACCGAGTGCACGGTATTCTGCTGGCTAGATTGGGTATCCTCCTGCCAGCATGCCAAGGCGACCTCTAGTACTTGGATACTTTCGAGCGATCGTATAGCACTTGAGTTCGTAAGCTGAACACCAACTTAAGAGCTATCCAATGAAAATAGCAAAGACAATGTTACGACCCACGCATCGTTAAAATCTAGTCTTTTTTGCTCCACATTATTATTCGAATCAGCTATGTCTAAAGTCAGTAAATTCAAATTTTTAGCGCTTATGATTAAGTTATTAAAACTTCAGGCTGCCTCAGCTTTTAACCAATAATGTTCATTTAAGTTTTAGGTTTTTATAGTTTCAAACTCCTTCGCAGTCTTAGCCATAGCCTTCGCCATAACCTTCTCCATAGCCTCCGCCGTAACCCCCTTGAAACCCACCACCCTGCACTTGAGACTGGTCATCACCTCCGCCTTGGGCATAGTTTGCATCATAGGCGTGAGATTGGTCAACACCTCCGCCTTGGGCATAGTTTGCATCATAGGCGTGAGATTGATCAACACCGCCGCCTTGGGCATAGTTTGCATCATAGGCGTGAGAATGGTCATCACCTCCGCCTTGGGCATAGTTTGTGCCTTCATGTTGGTGATAGTCTTCATCTCCGCCATGGCCGTAGTGTTCATCTGCGCCTGTGGTTCTGCTGTGTAATTCATTATCGTTTTCACCATAGTCTTCGCCATGGTCCCCGCGATGATCTCTTCCGTGTCCTTCGTCGTCACTATTACCACCGCCTTCACGGTTATGCCCGCGATGACCACTTCCATGCCCTTCGTTGTCGTTGTCACTACCATCTCCATGATGATGTCTGCGATGACCGCTTCCATGCCCTTCGTTGTAGCTGTCACCACCACCTCCATGATGATGTCTGCGATGACCTCTTCCATGTTCTCCATCACCACTATTGTCATGGCCCCCACTGTAGTCTATATTATGACCACTGGCATAGTCTATGGGTTCGTATTCATCTTCTACTGTAGTTTCCATGAAGTCAAAGTTGTCATCATCGCCCGGATCGTTGTTTCCATAAATGTCACATCTAGCAAGGTAATTTTCTTCATCTTGCATTATCCATTGCTCTTTTCCCAAGTCGTTTTCCGGCGTCTGTTTAATAGTGTACAATGAACTGCATAAGTCCTTGTTTGTCATGTATGCATATGGAATATAGCAATATCCTTTATCACCCTTACCACAAAGAAAAAGGAGGATTAGAGCCCATAGTATGTTCAAATGATATACAACATACCCAATCTGACCCNTGTATTATGGTTTTCAAAGACCCTGTTTTCTGGAAAACCCGAATAAAAGAATTTCTGAGCTTCACAAAGTGTTCCATTGGAAAGAGCGTATAGGAAAACCTCTGAAAACTGCATTTGTGGTCTTTTGTATTGACTTTACACCAAATGTCCGCATGCCTAACCAAAATTGCCCACTGTGTATCGTTTCGATATATCGCGATAAATCGGTAATTTTTCAGCGATTTTTACGAGATGGGCCTTTTTTTTCCTACTGTTTTATTCTGTCGATTTGCCTTGACTTGTGTATGAGTCGGTTGCCCAATTAATTCAATGTCTCAATATTGTTTCATTAACTACAGAACTCCACATCATATCAATAGACCAGCAATCATGTAAACCATTAGTACAATATAATTCTGAATTATCCGAATAATTTTTTTTGGATACATTTTCGTGATAAAAATTTATATAGATACTTTTAAAAACATATCAATTAGTTAATAACTATTTGGCAATGAGTTGATCTGAAAATTCTTCGTCGGAGTTATAATTTTAAGGCAATTATAGGATAGAGTTGCAACTTCGTCAATCGTATAGCTTTGATACGGTAGATATGTTGAGTACAGATATTTGAATTTTGTTTGAATATCTTAATTTTGACTCGTTTTATAATTATATTAGTATGGTTCTCATATATATTATAACGTATTTAATAAACAGGTCAGTGACGTATGTTTACTCTTATCGAGCGTAGATCTTAACAAATCTTTTATAAGATAATCAATTCAAGTTGTTTCGTTTCATGTAGAATGATTGTATCATGTTGTTAGTTTTTTTCTCAGACATAATAACTATAATAAAAAATGGACAGATTGTTATTAGTTTTGTCTCAAGAGTAAACGGATTGACAGAGAGAAATAGAACAGTATACGGAAAAAATTACAATATCACCCGTAATTATAAAGACAGCGTTTCATTCAATGCAAAATGGATTCACTAGACTCATAAAATAGAATGTGAGAACAACTTAAAATGTGATTTTCTGACTTTTTTCCATGCTATCGAGTTAAAAAATCAAAAAAAATTTCATGACTTTCATGAATTTTATGTCAAAACCACGAAAAAAAAGTATTTCGAATGATGGAACAGACAAAAAAATTGATGCTGTTCAATTCATTGATTAACAGCGACATTTTAATTAAGCAAATATAGTGAGTTTGATTTTTAATCAAAACCCTGCATTGAAATTGAAGAAAATGTCCAATTAATCAATGAATTCGAAATACATCAACCTTTTCTGTTCATTCCATCATTTTAATGTCATTTTTTCGATTTGTTTAACTCCATAGGATAATTCTCTTTTTATTTTTGAGAAGAAACGAATTAATATTTATGATGCACTTTTCTATCTCTTGAAGCAAAAAGACGCAATATGTTTTTTCCAACGAATGAATCATCTGTGCGCATGGTAGAAAAGATTGTTTTACGCTTCATAACAATATTATTTATTATCGATGTGAGTAGATACTTCCTACTGTAGAAAAAAAATCAATACGATAAATAACGAAAGTGTTTTGCGCATTTCTTTTAATAATTTTAATTCAGTTTTTGCACAATTTTCAAAATAATTATAAATTATACTGGGCTTAGTGATGGGAAATTTAGATATCGCAAAGCGATCGAGGAGATTCCGACACAATTCCGATTCTGACAAACAAAAAATTTGAAATTTGACATAGTTTCATTAAAAACGATACATTTCTTTATTTACTTTTTAATAAACAGTGAAAATCAGAGATTTCGAAGTATATATAAATAATGATTTGCTAAAAAATAAAATACGACACTTCTATCTCTGTTTAGCATAAGATACGTTCGACTAAATGGTTTACGTGAATAAATTATAATTACTTTTTAATCGAGGAAATGGACAATTCTGATAAGATTTTAAAAATTATTGATTATATTACAATTCTAAAACAAAGTTAACTTTGTCCATCGCTATCTAGGTTGCCTTATGATAATTGAAAATTTTTAGTATTTTATATTTCTAACAATTCTACTAATCTGTTGGTAACAATTAACAATTTCAACTTGTTGTAGAACTTCGGTGATTCTAATTGATTCCAAATTAAAATCTACTCTGGAAGTATTTTTTTTCATGATATCTATACAGTAGCATTAAATCTAGAAAGGCTTTGAACTAAAGTCAGTGATTTCATGGTAGTTACGACAATTTATTTTTCAACAAGTTGAATGCATCTTATCAACTGTCTCATAGTCATAGATCATATTGAATATCTATGATATTCATTAAAATTTTTGAATGCTCTCTAAAAGTTTTAATTTTATTATTTTCTTGCTCTTACGCCAAAACGACTTGTGTAAATTATTAATGAGAATTAAAAAAATAATGGCGAAATTCTTCAAAAGTTTCATCATTTACATAGAAAAGCTCAGTGGATGTGAGTATGAGATACAATCCTATGAGACAAACTTTTTCATGTTTATAATCCTGTTTGTTCCATTTACTGGAAGGTGGCTGATTGTCAAAAAGTACATTAGTCAATTGATTGGTTTTTATTTGCTAGTCGTCATGAAAAATTCTTCTTCTATTAGACCTGTTAGTCACGGCTAAAGTCTAACACTCGTTTTCCACATCTAAATATCATTTCGAAGTAAGGAAAACTGTGCTGAGATCGTACAAATGCACCGAATGTACATTTAACAGTTGGGAATTTTCTTAGATGATCATACATGATTCGCTCTGAAAAAGACCACTAAGAATGTTTTTGAGATTCTATATATATATATATACAATAGTTTACGTATATGACACTGATGAGTTTCAGATTCTTTATCTCTTAACGCGACTGTAATTCATCATAATTTCTTCTATGAAAGTCTAAGATATAGAAATAACAGATGTCATGTAGGATTCTATGCTGACAGTTTTTGGATTCGTACCGTCAGTTGTATTTTTTACTCGAATGGTTTGTCTGTTTTTGTCTCGGTTATTTATATAAACATGAAGATATTTATTAAAAATGAAATATTTTAAGTGTACAGTACGTTGTGATATAAGGATTACAAAAACTCGAGACATTGGTTTTTTTTGGATGATTTACCGAATTCCAATTGTTTCATGGGATGAGAAAAATGGGATTCTCTACTGTCTCGCAGCATACTAGTATGAGAGTATTGAACATGAGAAGATTCATATCTACCTACCTACACACTCTAATAAAGATTGTTTGAAAAAAAAATGTTAGCATTGTAATCGATTTAGTTTGTCATCGCTTCTTTATTTTTAAATACTTATTCGTTTATTGATAAGTAGTTCTATATTTGGTAGAGAGGTAACTCAACAATGACATCGACTAATGTTATTTCGACAGAACCAACTTCATTCTTTTATCAAGATTTAATATTTAATGCTCAAGCTATTCAACATCAAACGATTGAAATTGCAAAATTTTTGAATGAACGATGTAAAAATAACAAGAGAATACAAAAGAAATTAAAATCACGTCCATTAACAATTGTTGATCCATATGGAAATCCAACAACAGAAGAATATATGGATCATGAATTAATCAGTACATTGTTTAGGAAATATAAGAAGGACTATGTACCAAAATATTTACAACAATGGATAAAAATTGGAACGATGAAACAAAATGTTAATATTTCGCCATTGAATGATTTGGAATTACAATCATGTGTATTCACATATCCAGATAGTTATCATTTTATTACATATGGTGAAGTCAATATCTGGATAGACTATCATAAATATGTATCACCTCTAAAATATGTATTACGTGTTCTCCTAACTGATAATGTAGAAGAGATTAAAATGCGAGTACAAAAACTTCAAAAACTTTCAAATATGGAAGTAAAATCATTTATATTAAATCAAGATTCTTCAATGAGTGAAGCACATTGGAATAATGGTCAAACTCTAAAGTCAGATGATACCATCTTGTCATGTAAGTTATATCAAGATAATTGTATCATCATGATAAAAGCTTTGTTAGAAAAAGTAAATCATAACTTTTTTCTTTTCATCTCACATGATTTTGTTTTTCATAGACTGATGTTACAGAATCTATTTCTTGTTTTCAAATGTTTGTGAAAACTCTTACTGGAAAGACGATTACTTTACAAGTCGAATCTTGCATGGTTATAGCGAGTGTGAAACAAATGATTGAAGATAAGGAAGGTATTCCAATTGATCAGCAACGTTTTATATTTGCCGGAATGCAGCTAATGGATGACATAACTCTTTCAGAATATAAAATACAGAAGGAAGCGACACTTCATTTGGTGCTACGTTTGCGCGGTGGAATGTATCATTTTACTAGTGGTCGACACAATTTTGATATATTGTCATACACAGAAGCCGAAGCAATAAAAAATGTTCTTGCATTCAAATTTGAACGTATGAATCATCCTGAACGTTTGTCACCAGTCAGACTACAAAATTCTGTTTTAAAAGGACAAATGGCTCTATGGAAATTATATAACGAAATCAGTTGTTTTCGTGTTCCTTGTGACCTCCCACATATTGGAGATATCATGTCATCAAAAATTGCTGATAATCTAGATGAGAATAATACTGAAGACGATAATGATGATATGGATGTTTCAAATGAACCATGATAATCATCTATCCAAAATTAATTACCAGTATTTTGATTATTAGAACATTACTTACTTAAAGACTTACTTATTCAAGAGAAACAAATGAGATTTAGCCAGTAAAAAATATTCATGCAATAATCACGATTACTTTTGATTTTAGCCAAGACAGTTCGATTTTTTGTTAAAAAATTACATTTTTCAAAAATAATTTGATTAAAATTTATTTTAATTCTATTATCAATTGACAAAATCATCATTTTTTAAAGATTATAATTTCCAAAGTCGATGAAAATCATCAACCTCACCAAATTTCATTCGAGATTTTCAATCGATTAAAATTGATTAATACAATTTAATCGATTTTTATCGATTCTATTTAACAATAGCACAAGCAGGTATGTGTAAAGAAGAAAGTTTATATATGTGGGCGGGTGTGGGTGTGTGTGTGTGTAACCGTCTTCTCTTCACCGAGACATACACCCACACCCTTGTATTTATTATCGATTGACGATATTGATTGCTGAACGAAGATTTTTTTCATCATGTTAGCTTATCACTCGCAGCACATCATCAATTTAATATTATTCTTAATCTTTTCCCATTGAACGAAATTCAGTCACTTGTGATTGACAATGATGTATCTCCATTGTAATTAACTCGTTAGCCTTATTTACCTCGTTTGAGAACGTTGCAAATTATTTGTACATATGTTCATGATGATGTTTTGATTTTTAGAGGGTGTGGGTGTGAGTGTGATTATTGTTTTTATCGACACCCACACCCACACACCCGCATTTTAATGGATTGATGTTTCAATGAGTTGTAATGAATTTTTATAAAAAATGCATTGTATTGGATTATTTGGGTTGCATTATCATGTAATTGCATCCATTGCATTTCTATTGAAAAATAATGAATTGCAATGTACATTATTTCTAAAAATCGGCTACATGGGAAACGATTTGATTTTATTGTAAAAATATATAACGGTAGAAATTTAATTATATGTACAAAAATTTCTTTATCGAGCTATATTAAAGTTCATACTTTATATTAAAAATCTATACCGAGAACAGAAAAGAAAAAGTCACATAAATAATATCGAACGGAATAAATGTCAAAGTAGAAAATATGAAATATTCTTTTTTTGGGTAAAAGAATCTCTTAAAAGAAAAGAAAGATCTGTTGCAAACAGAGATGAGTTACCATAAAGGTTTTCATGTTAATGTAAAGTAAATTTCAAGACAAAATTTTCTCGCCCTCATTAAATTCGTTCAAATATTGTTGAATCACTCAAAGGGAAATTTGTTTGTTAATAATTTTAATGTCTGATAGTGAAAACTTATTTCTTTTTTTTTAAATTTTTCTAAAGCAATTAGTAATCTATTAGATTCCCTTTGCTAAGATCAGAATTTAGTCAAAATAATGGAAATATTTAAAAAATTTCTAATTAAAATAAGAACGAAATAAATCAACAATATATTATCGAAGAAAATTTTTTCATAAATCAATGAATTTCAAAAGATTTTGGTTTTTCGAAAAATCAATTTTTATTTGAAAACATACTGAATCGAATGATCGATTCAATAGTGCGAGGATAAATTTCCAAAAAGCAAACAATGCAGATAATACGATATGTATTATATACATAAGATATTTATGCAAAGTGAACAAAATTTTAAAGGCCGAAGACGAAGAGAATTTGTTGAAAAGTAAAAGCTTATCGAATCAATCGTTCGGAAATATAATTTGTCAATTTCAATAGTTAATTCAATTCAATAGCTATATTCAATCACTTATTATTGAATGCTCATTTTATCCGACAAACTTCTTTCTTTTTCGAAATATTTATAACAAGTGTCACAGAAAGATGAATCGATTTTTACGTTTTATTTAAATACTCCGAATTGACTTTGATACACTTATTAATTGTATAAAATCAAATAAGCTTGAGCAGCAAACCTCTTTGATTCTCAATAAGACATAGTTGTGTCAGAAACAATATAAAAAAGTCAACAGATAAATGAGAATCAGAAATTAATTGAAACTATATCTCAGTTGTAAATCAACATTATTTTAAATAGATAAATATATGAAAACAACGATCACTATTTTGGATAATATGCGTCTCAGTACATATGAAAATACAACTCACACCAACAATCAGTCCAAAAAGTATCTAAACACTCAAGATTACCAATATCCTTCCTCAAAATCGATTTTGATCCACATAAATACTAATTTCATGAAATTTTCAGAATATATTGAGACCATAGTGGAGAGACTATGGTAAAATGTTCAGCTGTCTAACATAACGTTTGTAAAAGATAATCACAAAATAAAAGGAAAAAATAGTTTATTTGACAATTCAAAATTTTCTACGGATCTATATTATATATTAGTTAAGTTTCTTTTTGTTTGAAATAGCTTGTCAGAATGTAGGACATAGTAGACCTTCTTTTTCTATTCTTCTTTCTTAAGCAAAGAAAAGACAAGACAAGTTTAATAACTGAAGAAACCTCAATATTTTTAATGGTCATTTGAGTTATTTTACTTTTATCTGTTTTGGGTGTGGGTGTCAGTGTATGTTCATCCACATCCACATTCACACCCACACCCATTCTCTTATTTTCCATTATTTGATGTTGTATTTTACTTAAACTCACAGTAAATAGATAATGAAATCAATTACTTTTTTCAATTATTTTTTTAACATGAGACAGTTGTAGAGAAAAAGATAATATGAGAGTAACACGTGGTTTTGTTAATCACACTACGTCAAACCAGTGTTTGTTTGTGGATGTGACTGTGTCTGTGTGTGGATTTTCTGTAGATTTATCTTGAGTTGTGTACAGCTGCTGTTGGAAGCATTTTTTCTCCTTTTATATGATGGCGCCCTCTGCTTTGTTATATCCTCTTGCTGCCTCTTGAAAAAAGCAAAAAACATAGTTCAATAGAGAAAAATTTTTCTATTTTTTATAGTGTTATATTGCTCCCATAGTGGAAAATTTGCTATTATTCAGCATATATTTTTGACTGAGCGCTTCTACTGACTAATAACTAATTACATAGTAAGAATTTCAATTGGCCCTAGCGCATAATACAAATATAAAACATTTGCAGATAACTATTAGTTACTAATTCACATTTGACATTATATTGATATAGAAAAGAAAAAGATTTAGTCTTTTTGTTTTCTATACAAAGGAATTGTGAATTTTGTATTCATTTTTTAGAATTTCATTTGAAACTTTTCAATATATATATGGATAACGATAAACAAACATTGACTTTTAATCAACCATTGAAAGATGAAACAATCAAATTACAAAGTAAATCAGGCGAATAGTAGATAGAAATCTTTTCATATTTTCATTTCAATAGACGATAGATCAATAAATAGGATTGAAAATTTATCTACAGAATTGTTTGTTACAATATTTGGCTATCTTGATTGTTATGATATCTATGAAGCATTTTCAAATCTTAATCATCGTTTTCAACAACTTCTCAATTCTTCATTTCATTTTTATAAAGTTAGATTTAATAAGGCAACATTTAATGAAACATTTACAAATAACTATAAACAATTTCTTCATCTTAATAGTCGTAACATATTTTCCATGCGATTATGGGCATCGTTAGAAAATGGTCAGTTCTTATTGTCACTTATTACCGATTCGTCAATGAGTTCACTTGAATCTCTTCATATCTTTTATATTGATTTAAATCAACTTGTTCCAATACTTAATAAATTAACTGCTTTATCTCGTCTTTTCTCCTTATCTATTATAATAGATGATACAGATGAAAACGTCGATCAAATTTATCAATTAATACTTGCTTTACCTAAATTAAAATCAATTAGTCTTACCATTAATTCAATCGATAGTCAAATCAATCTTCTGACGTATACAAAAAAACAACAAAGTACTATTGAATATCTTTCTATTAATCATCGAATAACTATTGGCCAACTTTTTGATATTCTTGCTTATTACACCTCAAGTTCGTCATATGAATGTGCGTCAAACAGAAATGCACAGTCGACGCATCCATCTTGAATCACCAATCAAATTAACAAATTTAACACATATTTCGATAAATAACTTTGATGGAAATTTGAATCAGTTTGAAACATTTCTTAGCCAAATATCTTGTAGATTAAAATATTTACATATTACTCTTACTTATGGCGAAAGCATCTTTTTAAATGGTCATCACTGGGAACGGTTAATTTTACAATATTTACCTGAATTGAAAAAAAAATCATTTAGGATTTAGTAATTATTTCTATGAAGCGCCTGAATATTCTATAGACTCTGTACCGTTGAATCCATTGAATACACCGTTTTGGATTCAACGACAAGATATACTTGAAATTCAAATGTGTACCTCGTGTATCAAGTATTGGATTCATCCATACAAGTGCCACAAAGATCTTTTTCTTTTATTTGAAGTAAATTGTCTTTTTGTGTCTTTTAGAAAAAGATGGTATGATGATACACAAAATAAGACTACCAATTCTTCGGTCGAACTTTCGAAATCCACTCGACTTACTCTCATCTTTATTAATCCTGATGATCCTCATCCACTAACAAGGATATATACTAGACATCTTTCAATTATAGTACAAATCTTTCATTTGGAAATTCAAATGGATGATTTCTTACTTCAAACATTAATTGAAATTATGAAATTCTTGCCAGAACTTACTACATTAAAGATTTGTTCGTTATCATGAGATCGATCAATAGACTTATGTTTTACAGACCCATTTCTAATGGATCCTGATGAATATAGAAATAGAATTACAAAAATATATCTCGAAAGGATGCATGATATCGAAGAGTTTCATCTTCTTTTAGAACTTTGTCCTTCTATGACGTATTTTAAAGTGGATTACACATTTCATATGAATATTGAACATGTTTTACGATACATTATCATGAAAATTAATCATGATCATAATGATCATCTTCGTTTATTGTGTTTTTGTATCCCAACAGCAGATAATTATGATGATACGATTGAAAAATTAGCAAAAATGATTAATGTTGAAAATCTTCTATTGGATTATAAAATTACGCGTGTATGCGACAATGTCTACGTAGAATGGAAGTGATTATTTTCATAGTAGTAGTGATGCTCGTAAACTGTTTTTTTTGCATAAATAAAATAAGCGTTCTTTCAGTTGTCAAAGTCGATATTAGTATATGACTTTTTAAGTTTTGTCTGTTTCTTATTTGTCTATGTAAGTAATGAACGAAGTATCTCTTGTTGTGAGTAAATTTTCATTAAATTCCTAAACTGATAAAAAGTAGCCTACGATGCATAAATGTGGAGGCCTGTTGTGTACGAATAGACGATTCTAGAAGTCTATCGCTTTCATTCTCCGACAGAACATGAATTAGTTCATGTCTTGCCTAGATGTTTCATTCAATCCTTGCAGATAGGGTACAGTTTTGAGGGTGTGGATGTGGTAGTGAGTTTACATCTTCTTTGATCTATACCCACACTCTCACGCCCACACCCTACTCTCCTGAATATTCTTGTTATTGTTACTATCATAAATACTTCGCAGGTTTTATCAAAAAGAATATCATACTTAATCATTCTTTAAACATCACGATATAGTTCATTGCTATTATAGGACCACAATTATAAGGTGACTAGTTCAAATCTCACAAGAAGCAAAAAAAGAATTCGAATGATCTCAGGTATCACAGGGATCACCGCAGCGTCCACGAAAATTGCAGTAGTGATTTGATTTGATGTAGTCAAACAGGAGAAAAAGTGATAAAAATCTATAATGAATTGTTATCGCTAGAAACATGAGTAGAATTTGTTTTTCAAAAATCATTCATAATCGCAATTTGAAAATACTGCAGAAATTAAACCGATTATTAGGCTTTTTAAAACCGCCTGAAACTGCAGCAAATATAATCGCGGTTTGAAACGGTTCATGCAAACATAATAAACGGTCTACTTCCTGCGGTTCATGATAACCGGAGCAAAATGCAACTTTTCAAACTACCATTGGCCGCGGTTTTTATTCAAAATCTTTTTGCGTGAGTTGTTCTACAAGTACACTCACCTACATTCACACCCTGAAGAACTATTCATTTACCCACATTAGGTTTGTCAATCTTTTTGAATCAGCTACCTTCATTTTCACTGATCGTAAACTATTTAGTGACGCCAGAGTTAACGGTAATGGCAGAACAATGTTAGAACTATGTAGATATGTACATCAATGTTCTTTCATTATAATAATAAATATTTATTATTAGGATAGATAACTTTATTTACCATACGTTTGATTATTTCTTCGTACAGTTCATCATCATTATAAACTAGCGAGAACCCTTGCATACTGCACGGCTGTGTTGTCCTTTAACGCATGACCTCAGACATTTTACTTTTCATCCGGTATAATACATACAGACACTCAATATTATGTATATAGAGAGATAGCCCTACGGCCTCATACTCTCATATCGCACATATTTTTATAGTCCATGTAGCCTTCGGCCTTATACCCTTATATTCCTTGCAGCCTTATCTCCCTATTGCCTTACTCCCTTCAGGGCCTATGGGTATAACAATATAATATCCCTTGATGGCCTATCAGTACCTCGCTAGGATAGCCCTTGAGAACCTATGAGTAACCCATAGGATAGCCCTTGGGGACCAATGGGTACCTCCATATGATAGGCCTTGGAGGCTTATGGGTACCCCGATAGAATAGCCCTGGATAACCTACGCGTACCCTCATAGGATAGCTCTGGACGACCCAAGGGTACCCCCATAGGATAGCTCTTGAGGATCTATGGATACCCTCATAGAACAGCCCTGGAGGACCTATAAGTACCCCATATAATAGCCCCTGGAGATCTCTCCCTTAGAGTCTTATTTGACCTTTAACCTTTGACCCTGCACACAGAAACAGACAGACACTGAACATTATATACATAGATATTTAAAAATAATTTTTTTGTGCTTATATGACTTTTTCGAGCACATATCAGACTGTTAAGATTTGAACAAACTACTTGAAGCATTTATTTTTCTGTAAAAACATTAGCTTAAATCATAAATAGTATAATATTTCGATGAGATGTTTCCGAATGCTGAATATGGAATTATATTTGAATCTGGTCCGATACGACAAGTTGAGTGTGAGGTGTGAGTGTGCTGTGTGGGCGTGGGTGTATATGGTGTGGGTGTAGGTCTTGATGCAGATAAAGAGTGTGGGGTGTGGGTGTGTGGGTGTAGGTCTTGATGTAGATAAAGAGCGTGGTGTGTGGGTGTGTGGGTGTGGGTGAGTGTGAGTGTAGGTGAGTGTGAGTGGGTAGGTGCAGGTGTGTGGGTGTAGGTGGATGTGAGTGTGGGTGTAAGTGAGTGTGAGTGGGTAGGTGTGGGTGTGGGTGTTGACTTTCTTATTCTAACACCTTATCCACATCCTTACCCACACCCACACGCACACGCACACTCACACCCACACGCACACGCACACTCACACCCACACGCACACGCACACTCACACCCACACCTACACCCGTGCAACTGAAGCAGAACCTTGAGTGTTAGCGTCAGTGATGGATCACACTAACGCTAAACGATGATTAAGATGCGCCTTCTAGTCTAATTGGCTTAGGACAACTGCCCGGATAGCAGGAGGTGAAGGTTCGAATCCCACGAAGGTCATCTTTTTCGTCGTTCTGTCACATTACGTCAGCGGCACTTCTTGTCCCTTTCGTTCTGTACATATGAGAGCTAACAGTGCGAGCGTAAATATTTCTGTTCCAGTTCAAACCGTATTGGTTCAGAGCGACATAATACCATACTAATAATAGTTATACCATTTTCCTCGCGTATATTGACCACAAGAGACCTCGAACCAGCCATGAATAGAACTTCCTTTTCATCGGGAAGTCGGAATATGATGAAATATCGGTAAAACCATCCAAATTTACCTTATCAGGATCAGCGTCTATTTCGAAAAGCACGTGCTTTGTATCATTTGATTGGGCCCCAGCAATAAGAAAAGTGCTGTACGCTTGATCGAAAGTGGTAGAAAAAAAAGAATTGATATAAACGTTCGCACTATGTACACTTTTGATATGCGTAAGTTCCTCTTTTCCATTAGCTGGCCACGATAGGATCGAACTGATGACTGGATTTGTTCACGGCGTAGTAGACTTATCTGTCGTATACAAAATGTAGTTTGGACAAAGCTGTAATGTGGAAAATTTTCAATGACTTTCACTGATGTTCTCTAAAAATTCGATATATCTTGAAAACCAAGTCAATTTAGGTCGGGTGAGATCTAGAAATGGAGAGTATACTTGGTGCCATCATCCTATATGGCCAGATCGAAACTAACGTTTTGGTCGAAAAAGAAAGGGAGGAATGCGTTACCCTTCACGAGCGACATTGCAAAAATACTCTCCGTATTACCAGTTGCTGGCCCAAATATGACTTAAAATTCAAAATAGTCAGCTTTAGACTAAGGCCATGAGAAGTATGCGACGAAGTTTCGATTGAAGTATATCGTTTTCTATTTAAGTTGCAGACAGATTTAGCGTCGTTTTATAAACTTTCTCCTGACAGATAACACATGCACATTGCTCTGCAAACAGATATGATTTTCTGTGACATATTGGCGTGTCTTAATTTTATGAAAGACTCAGATAGAATGTAATATGGCTTCTTGTAAGCTTTGAAATTACGCTAAAGCTCGCTATCCGAATATATCTGCGTCTTGGTAACCGAAGAAATTTGTCTCGCACATGCTGTGAAGTTTCCATTCTAAAATATCACGAGTGAAAGACCAAAAACCTTACGGTGATATTTTTGTCGAGCTCGATTAGCAATGTCCGACCTGCGAATAGTGATAAAGAGAGTAAGCTAATTGAATTACCTTTTGAAACTCTGAAATCTCTTATTGATGTTTCTTGATATCGAGGCAGTAGACATATAGGGCAATTACATGTCGAAGAGAATGAATGTGCGGCACAATATGTTCTGCAAAACTGCCATTAACGATTAGAGTAATACGATCATTACTGGCCTGCTGAATGTATTTCTTGCATTCAGTTGCGTCGTCAAATGTTTGAATGAGGCTGATTGTAGATCGAAGTTGCTTTAATCTTGCTACTATGTTCTTCGACGAATGCACTCCGACATCGAGCCAAACTAATGAAAATCTTTCTAACAATGGAACGGTCTGTACTGATAAGCTAGCCGGAGGACTCCGTGGTGTGCAAATGATCACACTCATTGAGAAACTCATGAATTTAAAATATGAGCTGCTGATGGCCTACCCGAGCAGAGATATTCAGTTTTTAAGTTGTGCATTAATAGAGTATTGGAACATAATAATATATGAAATATCGACATCAGTTTTTAACATAATCATCAGATTTGCTAAGAAGTGCATTTCCAAAATCAAGATAAGATCTACTTACACTATTTAGATTAATCTAGCTATGACTTCTATTGAGCTCTACAGTATTGAGTACAAATTATATCGATTATTATATAGAAAAATTCCTAAATTATCTATAGCTTCGACTTTATTTTTTGATAAATTATGTATAATAACATTTCAAAAAATATACTATAAATGGAGATGAAGATCTTCGATCAAGTGGTAATAGCAAAGATGTTTGTTGCACCAGGCACAGGTTAGAAGAGTTCGTTCTTCACAACGGGCAACTGAACAATAAAGGTTATAAAATTTAAAACAAACATCCTTTGGTTTTTGCATTTCACCAACTGCTGCATCGAGTATATGAGCTCGCACGAATCCAGACTTAATGAGGTCTTTAAATTGTGGAGCAGATAATTGATTGTGAATGATAGAATGCATATTGATGAAATATTGGCGATCATTCAAGTTCATCTCTGTTTGATTGATATGGATGTAATGTTCGATTTTCTTATGAATAAATCGCCAGGCACGAAACAATGATAGATCTTGTGGTTGAATATGACCAGTAGATCCTTGCAGGGGCGGCGGAACGTGTTGAAATCAGGTGAGGCTCAAAAATAGCTTTCTACATATTAGCATGAGACAATGTGAGTGAATTTTAGGTGATAAGCCGCTTTTAGACTATATAAATTTTTTGCTATCAGAAGATTAATACGCTAACTTATTTCATCCTTGACTAACAAGATTTCTAAATCTTTATAGAAAGACAAAAATTTTAAAAAAAAATGAGGATCATTTATTTTACACAGTTACACTAGAGCATTGAACCAAAAAAAGTTTGTCTTTTTTCATTTGATGATATAAATTTGGACATGATTTGATTTGCATCAATTTCATCAAGTTTTTCTTTATAAATATGTGGTAATAAACAATGATTGAGACGTGATTGAGTCATTGAAGAACGAATTGCATTTTTTAATCTATTTAATGTACTGAATTACTATGAATGAATTTTACTGAATCCATTAAAAAGAATACGAACACACTCTAATCTAGCTAGTTTTGATCTCTTTTGATCGGATAATTCTACAATTGGTCTAGTACACACGACTTTACGTAAATGAGATAAAATGTGTCGCTATGAACCATAAGGACATAGTTAGTGGGTTTATTATTGTCTGAATGTCTTGGTTTTCTTTATCACAACATATAAATAAATATATTAGAAGTTCGAATCTTTGCACTGAAATAATATTCGTTTGATAAGTCTAAACCATCGTGCAAGAAAACACCGAAAACATAATTTGGGTGAGGCTGAGCGTCCAGATGCCAAATTCGGGTGAGGCTCATGCCTCACCCAGCCGCCAAATTCGGGTGAGGCTGAGCCTCCAGACGCCAAATTCGGGTGAGGCTCATGCCTCACCCAGCCTCCAGCTTCCGCCGCCTATGCATAAAATGATAGAATCAAACAAGACGAACTCCTAAGCATAAGAAAAATCTCTTGACTGAATCCGTTATTTATTACGATTTTTTCGAAATGTTCAAGAGTTGCGAACATTGATTTTCAGTTTTCAACGTTGCACCGAGTTTGGTTGCATTTTCATATTACTTTTGTATGAGTTTAGGCGGAAGCATAAGAAAATCCTGTTTTTAAGTTTCTTCATAGAAATACAAAAAATTTTAAAAATGTCGATTAAAATATCAATCGTGCAAAAATCATTAGAAGTCATTATTGGTGCTCTCATTCAATAGAGCACATTAAAAAGCTCCTACACGTTGAATGTTACTGAAAAAAAGAAGCAAAAAAAACAGTTTGGAAAAATGATCAGAATTTATATTATCCTGTTACAGAGAAATCATCGTAAGGAAAAAAGCATGACACTTCTGCTCTTGAATTTTTCGAAGAAATGTAAAAAACATTAAAAAAGAAACCCGACAATGCTACTCATAATGCAAATTAATCGTGACTTTTGCTGAAGAATTTTTCACTTAGATAGTTTGCTTCGATTGTAGCCAAAGAAATCCTACTCTATTCCAAAAAGAGCTCACTTTCGTTGACGCCCGTTGACAAAAAAAATGCGATGGAAAGCAATGTTCGTTTGCTGAATCGCGTAAAGCCTTCATTATGACTACAGTAGACAGCTTCAATAAACTTTTGCTGCTTGTCGCCGTAATTGGTCAGTTCGCGGCCCTGTACGACCGAGAATCATCCGCTAAGAAGTTCGTCTTATGCTTGGTCCAACAAAATTAATTTTAATCCTTCATTATTCAGAGAAGCATAGGCAAAGAAATTAATGAAAATATCGATATTTTGACATCAGGAATACTATAAAAATGTGCAATTGTATAAGAGACAAATTTCAAAAGTGCATGATTGATGAAAAAATATGTCATGTTGTGACAAGTAAACTACCGTAGCATCAAGTGCACTCTATGGCACCACAAAGCAAGATGACCGTTTAGTCAGTTGAATTTATTTTCTACTAAGCATTTTGTGCAAAAAAGCAACAAAAAGAACTATCATTTAATGCTAGTAAAAAATATAGCTGTCTTGAAAGCAATGAGCTCACATGCCCTCCCTCCCTCCAATTTCTTACTCGAAGTGCCTAGATATAAATTCAGCGGTGCAACGAATTTATCATACTCTTAACGAACACCACTGAATCATCGTTTCGTCGCAACTAACAGTGCAACCGTTCTTTCTTCTCATTCTCCGCGGAACACATTTGTCGTCAACGTAACAGAAAGTAAAAATAAAAATCTTTGCTTGAAAGTAAACTATCTCCATCGTTCAAAATTGGAATTAACATTCAGTTTCATTTGCTCGTTTCAGGTATTTAAATTTTCTCGAAAGAGTGCAAATTTATGACTGATGAATATGACAGACAAACACAATTAATGACAATTGGATATAAGAGAGATAATGAAACTATTAATTTGCAATTTCTACATCACGCATTTGTTGTAAACACCTATCTAACGGGTGGACAGAAAGTTTTGAGACAAAATGTTTGTCTATTTTTCACCACCTCGAAAGTATTCTAGATAAATAGAAAAAGGTAGATAAGAATCAGAATTTAATGCTCTTTCCGAATATGAGTTCATAAATTCTGTGTCTATTTTTGTAAGGGAGAAACAAGCAAATCTTTGAAAGGCATAAAAAAAATAGTCTGGACAAAATGGTTGAGTCGAAGCTTCTGAGCAATGTTTGCTTTATTTTTGGTCTATATAAAAGTATTGTAGGCGAATGAAAACTACAGGCTATGATCAGAATTTTCTGCTCTTTCTGAATATGGACTCACATTTTTTTATTTGTTTTCGCGCGAGAGTAGTGAGACAATCTTTGAACATGCTAGAAAATTGGATTGACTAATGAACACATCGGCATTTGCTTCTCCCGTGAGTCCTGTGTGAAGATGCTAAAGACGGTTGAATATGTTAGTTTTGTAGAGCAGACAGTCCTCTACAAAATGTGATATCGAATTCCAATATAGCTTTTATACAAGTAAAACTATAAGCANTTAACGCTGATTCCGAATCTGATATTAGTTTTGAACCAAATCGTAGCTTTTTAACAAAACATCGCCTGAAAAAGGTCTCAAAATGCACAAAAAACTGCATGCAGAAAGCAAATTGCCTAGATATGTCTCAGTTGATAAAAAACAAAGTGAATATATCTCTTCACTTTTTGAAGTACACATAACACTCGGATTGAAATCCGATGTTTTCGCATTTTTTAATTCGTACATTAGGAGAAATTATGTACTTCATAGTCAAAATACGATGACATTCTATTTTGTTGAATCATTTACTGATTTCTATCATAATTCTGAATCCTATTGAAAACATGAGACTTCAATACCATACTTCATTTACCGTTTCGATTCTAATGTGTTGTAGGCATAGGCATTTTATCTGAACTATGTTGAATACAACTTAAAGAAAAATATCGAAAGAAGTTTTACTAAATTTCTGAAAATCGCTTGAACTATTCACATTCTTTTTATCCCGATGAACTTTTTGAACATCTTGTATATAATATTCAAGTAGTTGGGTAAAGTGACAGATGAGTCTCACGATAATTTAGCCTGACATAAAGAACAAACTAAAGAAAACAATTTTATCGATGCGGACCTTCTATTCACCCATCTCTGATATTGATCTTATGTCTTGTTTTATTAATCGATAGAAACTCATCTGTCGTATCACTAATAATTCAATGCATTTCCTGTTATAAAAAAAAAAATATTTACTTAACTTTATTAAAAATCATTACATTGATTAAACAGTAGTGAAAGTTATTTTCTTATTCATCTTTGTTAACTATTCATTACACAATCTTGATCTTTTCTTTTTTTTGTTTTTTAGTAAACCAACACAATCGTCATCCTCACATAGTGTTGTTAATAATGGTCAAACGATAACTCGAGCTCGTCGTTCAGTATCACCACCATCAGAATCAAATTCGTCTTCATCATCAGCCAGTTCATCATCAGAAAATCCACGCAAAGGAAGTTATGATTTTCAAATACCAACAATAATGAGTACAAATAAAAATATTGTAAAGAAAAGTACAGATACTATACTACCACCACCATTACTCGATTTTAATAGTAATAGTACTAATGATGATGATGATGATAATACAGCATCTTCAATATTTTCTCAACGTAATGCAACACCAGCTGCATTAAATCATTTAAAAAATATTGAAGATATTATTCGCGGTGATGAAACACCACGTACAAGAATAACCATTCAAAAACCGTCAACTAATGGTCATAAAGATATTCCTGTTGAATATGAAGATGAAAGTGTTAGTCAAAGAAGTAGTGTTGATGATGTTACTGTTGATAAAGCATCACCATCCCCATCAGCTCATATTGATTATTTAGAAGACATATAAACATTTCGAAATAATTATTAAATTTTTCATATCTATGATGTGTTCTATACTTGCTAATGAATTATTATAAGAATCATTTTCTTTTTTTTGTATCTATGGTGAAATAATTTCTCTTTTTTTTCTTGTTGTGCCTTTAATTTAATGTAATTTTGTTAACAAATTCAATTAAAATTCAGAGGAACTTTTGTTATACAGAGTATCATTCAAATATATTTATGGTTATGAAATAGAAAAAAAAAAATCTTTGTTTGTCTATTCCTTTTCAAATGAATTATTGGTCTTTTTTTTTTCTTCTGTTGAAATCACTTAAAACAAAAGCGATGACAATCATTTTATAAAGTATTATGAAAAAAAATCTAACTGTTTAGCGTCGGTTGATTTTTAAACCATAAGTGTTTATTTATGAAACATAAAAAATTTTCGCAATACTTAGGATTAACCGAAAGTTCGAATAACATTAAATATAAAGATAAAGAGATATTTTTAACTTTATTTTATTTAATGTTCAGGATAGTTGTCATGATTATACAAGTTTTCAATTATTTAGCACGTCCTGTTTCATTTATTTAGTCAAAAATTACATAGTTTCAGGTTTCATGAGTATAAAGGCTTCGGATAATTTTCAATGTAATACTTGTTATCTGTAGTCTTGCCTTTATCTGCACAGAGGACTATTCGATATAAAGAATATACCAAAAAATCTGTCCTGATAAACAATAGCCCTTTGACAATTCATCTTCAATAAGCCAGCTAGCATCAAATGACTTACCTATCTAAAAAAAATCAATATCTCATCACTAGTACTGCTAGAAGGCAACTGACATGATCTAACAAAAATTCGCTAAGTATTAAAACAAATAAAATATGATTAGCTCATGCAGTTTCAATGGTAGATAAAAATTTTCGAGAAAAATAATTGAAAAAAAAAACTGTTAGAAAAGATCAAACTTGATATAGATAATCATGGCAACTATTCTGAATATTTGATAAAATAAAATAAAAAAAATATCTCCTTATCTTTATATTTTCATTTAATATTATCAAAACTTTTGGTTAACCTTAAGTATGTCTTGAAGTCGGATCGATTTTTACGAGATATTAAAGCTGATCTATTTTGCTGAGATTTACCGATCAAGATTTATATGATACTGGGAGTATTCAGCTGAGAAATTTCCTGCCGTTGTCAAAATATTGGCTCGAAATATTGAGTTAACACTTTGTTACCATATAATAAGAGCCTCGAATCATGCAGAATAAATTCATTATACTCACAAATAGTTAACTAGATATTAGAAATTAATTTCAGTTTAAGCTAATGGTTTTTCACTTTGAAATTTTCGTATCTATTTGACGATTTAACGGTTTCGGTTTCACATGATGTTTTCGGAACCGCTGAACTGTAGTGGGAGTGTGCATGTGGATGTAAGTATTGGTGTCGGACTTTTCTTCATCTATATCTATACTCGTGTGAGCAAATATCCTAGATCGGCTTATATGTAACTGTTTTTTTTTCTAGGTGATCTGATATGTTGAATAATCTAAACAGAACAAAATCAATTTTCGGCAAAAATTTTGTTAGTCTAGAAAATCAACATATAAACACCTAAGAGGATTTCTCATCGTCGATAACATACAATCATCTAGTTTTCGATACGAAAGGTGATCGATCAAATGAAAACGCTCCATCGTGATATCATTTAATTATATAAACGAGAAAGCATATTATGTAAAGCGGCTTGTCCAAACATAACGCTTTTACGTTTTTGACACACTGTTCTTCAATTAACTTCGAAGGTTTAACAGCTAGAAAGTTCATTCAAACGCCATTCAACACAGCTTATCAAACTCTATTTATGCTATAAGAACGACCTTTTTCGGCTGAAGTCTCGAACGTCTAGAAAGGTTTTATTATCGCGTAACGCTGTTACATAAAAAGACTGTTTTTTTCCAGTACCGCCGAGAAAACTCTAATTTCTAGCGAAACTATTTCTCCAAATGAAAACTTTCCAGAGTCAGTTTTGTACAGCATCGAACAATCTTTTAGGCAGTAAAAAAGATTTTTCCTAAAGCATTTTTGCTCAGACGAAAAATACAAAATACAAGCGTAACGCTGTTACGTTTTTCATAACGCTGTTACACAGTTTTTTGTGGACTAGTTTTGAGGCGCTTAACATGTTTAGAATGGTTTGCTTTTTACAAATGTTACTCATTTCCGTGTAGATAATCTTCTACATAAGAATGAGATTGATACATCGAACCGAGACCTCATAAACCGGACAGTAAGTTGGAAACTGTGTAAGAGTCTGCAATTTATCTTTAGTTACGAAAGTCAAAACTAAATAGGTCATTTTGTAGAGAATTAAATTCTGCATCGAATGATATGTCTCTCAATATTTTTTCAAAAATGTTTTTGGTTAAAAAATTCAACATATGATTTTTCACAAGTTTAAAGCCCGGTTTTCGATTCTAAAACCTAACTTTTTTACAAAATAAATGTCAAATTCGTAATCAGCGCTAAAAACTGCATCTAGTAACTCATTCAGATTTGTCCAACTCGAAAAAACATTTTTTTCGAAACTTGATCAGCTAAGTGCCGCGTTACGTGGACAAGCCGAACTACTCATAGGAATCTGTTCATATGAAATGTTTTCAGAAATACTTGAATTGATATCATCAGATATCGCAAGAACTTTCTCATAATTCGAAAAGAATATCATACACACTTTGTTCCAAGCAGTTAGTAACCAAGAAAATCAATAAACTTCATTATTAGATAGACTATTTTTCTAAGAATAATGTGATAATTCTACTTTAGTCTTCCTGTTAAAAAATCTGTTGCTCAATCAAACGGAATATAGAATCATCCCAAGTGGCCATCCGATAGGCATTTCGACGAGTTGATTTGACGTTGTCGTGGGTATCGAAACTTAAAACTGAGGATTCGGATTCTCACTGTCTGATATGTCGAGGGCTCGGTGATGGGTTAGTAAAACATGATACTTTCGACCACTCGAATAATTTTAACCGATGAGATCAAAATAAAAAGAATTTTTTTGATAGATGTCTTAGTCTCGAGTCGTTGAAACCTATCGAATAAATGCGGAGCAGGAGATTAGAGCATGGGTACTGGCGATAAACAGTCGTCGAACATCTAAACTAAATATGAACTATTTTTCTTCTATGAAAATTATCTTTTCAATTCTTAAATAGATAATATTTAGGAATGTCATTTTCCTGTAAATGTATTTTAAATTTAAACTTACGAGATTTTATTGTTTTCTTAAATTTAAAACATCGAATCTTAATGAATTTAAGTTGCATTTGAATGTTTCAGATTCTTTTTTTTGGATTTGATAAATCTTCTTAAATGTAAATGCATCATTCGAAATAGTACTTTGAATTTTAACGTTTGCTAATGGTGTTCAAAAGTCACTGAAAAAGATTTAATCGACAAAAACACATTTTTCATCTGCCCGACTAATGAATTGGCTTTTTCGCCAGTTTCAGATATCATATAAGGAATTGAATCGACATATATGGCACTTGATGAATAATTGAGTTTTGGAATAAGCTATAAAATCAATATTTTAAGTTTTTGAAAGACTCTAAGCAGTATTCGCTAAGATTCTGTTTTCTTTAGCATCACTTTAGATTTTGTTCTTATTTAATGCTTTTCCATCATTATACAACAATTACTTTCTATGAAGTTATGAAATTAAAGATAAAACTCGTGCAATATAGATTACTCTTCTCGGGTAGCCTAATGAAGAAGACACTTGCAAATCTCTGTTTTTAAATAACTTCCACAAACTTAAAGTTAACTTAATCACTTGAAACCGCTTTTATGCTCAGCTTGTTTTTAGTGGAGCACTCAATACGGTCTTTCGATATCTTTGTTTTGCTCGAGTACTCGAAACTTCGATAAGTATCGATGAATCGTAAAATCCTCGAGGAATCGAACATGGATCTTCGATAAGACAATTTTCGAGTGCTCGAAATCAAAACAGAACGAACAAAAAAAAAATACTTATTTCACATTTTCGAGCGCTCATCACACCCATCGTATGCTTTTTATTGTCTGCGTGGGATATATGTCAAACTTGAAAAGTTGAACTTCAAGTTTCAGTTTTCAAATAAACAGTCACTCTCTCGATGCCAGTACCGCTGCAACATAGCCGACTGAAACCTGAAAGTTGAATAGGAATTTTTCAATTGAATTTAACTTTCGAGTTTGGTACTATTTAACACGATGGGATTGCTTTAGTTGCACATGAACATACTTATAATATCAATCGTGAGCCGTCGAATGGTTCAGGAAGAACCAGCTGACGTAGTTAAGAGTTTTCTAAGAAGATTGAGACTTAGGTTTCAAGAAGGAAATTAGAATAGAAAAAATTTTGTTCACAACGAAAAAATATCTCTGGCCTGAAAAAGATGACGATGGGAAAGTGAAATAGTGGGGGACTCAGATCATTCTTTCAGAACATCTCAGTATTTTCATACATACTCAGCCATAAGTGCAGAAAGGTCTTCAAAAACTTTCAACAGAGTCTATTTTGTAGAAGATTTGACCTTGATTATAGTGATAAAAAGAATTTCATTTGGCATAAAACAATGAGAAAGGTAGAGCCAGATTACTAAAAAATGATTATTTACCTTCCTCATTTATCATTACAAAACAGTGTTTTTTCATCAAAATGATCAAATACAAATGCTCCACGAAATAGACTCACATAGAAAGTTTTTAGAGATGTTCTAAAAGAATGATCTGAATCTCTCACAATTTTCCAAAAAGTGGTGTTTGTCCTATTAGTTTGTCCATACGCTTGCCTTTGATAAAACTAATTTTCATATATACTAACTAGCTAGTGATCTATTGATAACGGTGTAGTGTTGTTGTTTTTTTGGTCTAGTCATCAATCAGAAAGATATAGAAAGAGGCAACTGGTTTCTATTCATGTTTGTTTTTACACATATTACTGTATAGAATAAATGACAAACTACAACATTGTCTATTTCATTGAAGATAATCAATCAGATCAAACGGAAGTAATATTGGTCAATATAGTTCAACAAAATCGCAGCAAACATTTTTAACGAAGGTGACAATAATACCATGAGTGAAAATTGTGATTTACTTGAAACTTGTACGGAACATGTAGTGCATCGTCCACCAAGATCACCTGGACCTGCATTGGGACCATACTTTCAGTTTATCACAACAGATTTGGAAAATATGCTATGGATTGGAAGTATTTTAATATTTCGACATGTTTCATATGATCAACCGTCAATCGATTTTAATTCAAATGTTAAAGTTGATTTAGATTGGGAATTTTTATATGAAGATATATTCGATATGCGAGCTTATCGAATTAATCTCAATATTGATTTACCACAAGGTAAAGGTGATGAAAAAATTTGTTGGACAATTGATTGGGGTGATTATGTAACAAATGGAATGTTTCATATAGCTCAATATGATCAAAAATGGCGTGGTGCATTTTTTTCTTGTAATGGTTTCGATGCTACTGTTTCAAAAGAAGTTGCATCAGGTTTAACTTATAATTCTGTCTGGAATCATCTACTTTCTGTTCACGAAAAAACACCATTTCATCTTCTGGTTTGGGGAGGCGATCAAAATTACAATGATTTTGTTCTTGAAGATATTCCATTTCTTCAAGATTGGTCCCGTATGGAATGGGAACAAAAATGGACATGTGAAATTCCAAAAGAAGCAAAACAAGAAATTGAACAATATTATTTTTATAATTATACCGAACATTGGGAAGGTCGACCAGAAATGAAAAAAGCATTAGGATCGATTCCAAGTATTATGATGTGGGATGATCATGATATTTTCGATGGTGCTGGATCTTATCCACCATTACTACACGATAGTCCACTTATGATGGGATTATTTGAAATAGCACAAAAAATGCGACTTCTCTTTCAACATCATACTACACCAGAGAAAGCTCGACGACATCGATTTTTTGGCTATCAAGGCTATAATTTTCTTGCTCGATGTGGTCCAAATTTAGCATTTTTGGGTACTGATGGTCGTTCTGAACGCGATGATAAGACAGTTACACATGAAAATACATGGAATTTGATCTTCACAAACTTGGACAATGATCTAAACAATGTTCAACATTTGATCGTTCTAACAGCTGTTCCAATGTCATTTGCACGTTTTAAAATGGCTGAGTCATTGCTTGAAATATTTAAAAAATTGTCCATGAAACGTCGAAATATTCCACTTAGTCAACATATGAATTCAGTTTTTGGTTTACCTGAACTTTATGATGATCTTCTTGATGAATGGACACATGAAGCACATTTGAAAGAAAGAAATCGCGTTCTTTCTCATCTTCAAGAATTTGCAGCGAAGAAAAAAACAAGAGTAACAATTTTTAGTGGCGATGTTCATTGTTGTGGTGTCGCACGATTTCAAACTCGAAAAAATACTCCACCACCTATTCATGATTTCAAATTGATGTATCAAATAATTTCATCTGCCATTGTCAACAGACCACCACCAAGAATAGTTATTCGTGCTGCTCATTTTTTTGGTACTAAATGGTATCCAATGACTAATACTGAAGAAGCGTTGATTGACTTTTTCGATCAAGCACCAGAATATGAAGCAAAATTAATGCTAAGAAAATTACTTCCAAATCGAAATTAGGTTTACTTTGAACAGTGTGAAACGATGGATTCGACTCCTGTTGATAGTATTAGTCGAACCGGTTTGTTGAGCAAATATTTTTGGCCTATTATTGACTGGTTTCTAATAACAATTGGTTTGAGTTCCATTGTCATTTGGAAAAATAAAAAAAGCACGTCAGCAATAAGATCTCGAAGTCAAAACAGATCATTGTCGTCATCTGCTTCGAATAGTCTATCTACACAAGAAGTAAATAATTTGAAAGTTCAATTCTGGTTGGAAAATACTCATAAAAAGAAAGGCGGAGCACCATTTTCCAGTTATGATTTATTTATTCCTGACTTAAAATAAATCTTACTGTTGCTCTGTATTGAATTCAACAGAACAATAGGAATTGAAACGATTGAAGACAAGACTTCCATTATTTTTTATTTTTCGATGCCATTTTAGACTTCACTACAATTTATTCATCACGAACTTCATGTGTGAAAACATAAATAATTTTAAACATATATTGTACTTCTTATTATTTCTTCTGGATTCTAGAACTCAACTCATCCTAGTTTTTTTTTCTCAATAAAGGACCAGTAACAATAAGGCTGTATTTTCAACGCTAGCATTATTTAAAACAATCTCACATGATTAGGGATGGGTGTGGTTGAGGAATGTGCCTTTGACTGTGATTCTTCTCTGTGCACCGATATCCTCACCCTATTTGCGAACTTTCCTTGGTCAATAGGTGATGTCCGAGTCAGCATTTTGAAAATGGGCCTGGTATACAATCAATTAATCGAAAAAATTAAAAAGAATATCTTAAATTATTGAATGGTTAGCACAAGTGAATTAATAATACTTCTCACTAAAATTAAAGAAGAATTAAAGTATTAAAAATGTAAAAATAAAAAATTGAATGGAAATTCTCTAAAATTTTTGATAATGATGAAGCATCAATGTCAGATTCATAAACAATTTAACGAATTGTATTTTAATAGACCACATTCAGCCTAAAAAGGGTGTAAGAATTCTTTGAATTAGTGTCGAAGTGACAGAAACAAGGTATGTTCATCTGTCCTCTGCGTAGATAGACAAGGTTTGCGCTTCTTAAAAATAGAATAGTTCGATGTTCAAACTAACCATCAATAATATTATCACCATGTTGATATTATTTATGATGAAGAATGTACGCAAATTCATTCAATCTCCGTTTTTTACCATAAATTAAATATAAATACAGTACGAGAACATGATGTAGACTGAGAAATATTCGTTCCCGTATAAGAACAATGTATATTTCAAGTAGTACTAATGTTGAAATTTATTCTCAAATGAAAATATTCACTAATACATGTATTCACAATGGGATTTGTGAGTTTATTTTTTTTTTACATACGTATTTTTATTTTAGTAATCATAGTTTGTTGATTTAGAAATTAAACAAAAAGATAAAAATTTATGGCTAATAGAAAAGTGATGTCGAGTCATGAAAAAAATTGATTCGATTATTACAGGATTTGATACTCTTTGAAATAGAAGAATGAAGTGAGTAAATGTGAAGCAAATTCATATTTTCACTAGAGACTTGCGTTAAAGATAGTTGACAAACTCCAAATAGCTTGTGGAACATGTATTGGCAATCTTAACAACCATATTTCTTGCGTATGCTTTGATTATTTTTTTTATCTAACTCTTCAAGTTCAGCAATTTTTATTTCTCTCTCATTCATACTATTATTCAGGTGTATATCGGTGATTCATTTCACTTATTTCCTGAAAAAAACTAAATCTAGATCTTATTATATAGCTTATCAAATCGATTATGGAGCGGATTTGAGTCTTGAGTTGATGCATACACCAAGCCACACCCACATTCTTATGCATATGATGAATCATAGCTTCAATGTGTACCAATTTTGTTACTCCAGATATATATAATTTCGAACAGTAGACATAAATGCATATGTTGTGTATCATGACCGCCACTGCTTAATGCCCTTTTGTAGCCCCTACATATTTTGAATTCCGAATCTGTAGCGTAATATATAGAATGATCGTTAGTTGCTGTTTAGCAACCCATTTGATGAGATTTTGATGTAATGTGATGTTTTTAGTTGTATTATAGATAAAAAGCTAGACGAACGTATATAAGTATACAATAAGGATATAATTAGATGTCATGAGTGAATGTAGGAGTGAACTCATTTCTTACCCATACCTGCACTCTCCCTAGTATTAATCCCAACTAAGAAGTTGCTAGAGTCTGAATTAATTTTTGCATTACATTGGGATTCGCCTTTGCTGTGAGGATCATTTGTTTTCTAAGCAGCATCACCATTAAAAGCCTTAAAATATCAAGAGATATTTCATATTCACAAGACAACTGCCTGTGATCACAACTATAACACAAAAATAAGTTAGTGATTTCGAGTAACAATGAAGAAAAAATCTTAGTCACGCTGATCTCTTCCTCCAGAAGCGCTTCTGAGTCCTGTAGCTTCAAAAAATCAATTCTTTGCTGTTTACCAATGAGATATAGTGCGAGAGCAAAAAGCAATTTCAACGTCAAAAAGAACTGAACAAAATCAATAAATGAGGCTCTAAAGAGTTTGTTTTCAAATGCATACATTTGCAAGTCAAGCAACTTTAATTATCAAAATCAACAAAAACAAAACTGTTTCTCGATGAACTCTATCAGATAGCTACATGTATAAACAAAAGAAAGGAAACGAACAATCGACATAATTCGAGAATTATTGATTTTCTCATTGGATTGAAACAGTGAACATCATGGCATGATTAAAAGTTTGATGAAAGAATTTCTCTCGTTAAACTTGACGTTCATCAACGAGTAAAAAACCAATAAATAAATTGTCATAATAATTAGAGTGCATTTCTCATTTAAACGTACTCCATAATGCATATTCTTGTACTAGTTCTATTTTCAATCAATTCCCTCATCATCTCAAGTCACATTCCATTCATTGACTATGTCATACTTGTTCCACTTTCCATTTCAAATACTACTTTTTCTTATAATCAGACATGTATTGAATGCTTGTGTATGATTAAGCTCTCTTTTTCAGCCCTAAACTGTTTTCCGAACTTCACATGCCAATTCTTTACTAACGTTCCACGTACTTATTGTGTACAAACGATACCTCAAGGTCGTATATACTTTTCTAAACAGATACTACCCAACGTTAGTCAATGTTGTATGCCTGATCTGCATGTGCTACCAAGCAAGCTTAAGAGTGCGGCACTGATTTATGCTAACGTAACTTCTCCTACTTGTCTTGCATTCAGCAATCAAGGATCTGTGACTATAATAGAAAAAACAAAGAAATATTTGAAGATTTTTGATGCAATGACTTTGAGCCTTACTAGTCAAAGTTCAGTATTGGGTGCATCTTCGCTTACAAACATGGCTTATTATGACGAACATTATTACATCGGAACCAGTGTAAATACTATTCTGATAATTGAGAGTAACTGCCTGAAAATTATCAATACTATTAACTCGTCGAATATCGGTGGTCCACGCGACATCACTTTTCTGAACGGTGGAGCTACGATGATTGTTTTGTCAACTAACAATACTAAGTTGTTATTCTTCAATAGAACCAGAAAAGTACCACTAAATTACTTATGGTTTTATGAAATAGCTGTTAGTTATGTAAATCCGCATGGACTCTCGCTTATAAATGATAGTTTCTTCTATGTGACATCATGAAAAAACAATACTATCTATTCTTATAGTACGAATAACACTAACAGTATGTCATGGACACAGACGCTATATCTCAATGCACAATCAATAGCATTATCAAATGCTGGTTACCACTTGATAAATGATGAATGTGATCAGCGATGGTTCTCAATGAAAGGTTCCGGTATCCAGATATATGACAGTAATGGCAACCGGATTGGAAATTTTACTTTGGCAAATTCATCGTTTTTCAATTTGATTCTCACGAATAACTACGTAATGTATTTATCAGACTATCAATCGCAAAGAATCATTCGTATTGATCCAAATATAGATTGCGAATATTTATGATTTAAACAGAGATTTAAAGATAAGTGAAGCTGTGAGTGTAAGTTTGTGTTCTTTTAACATCCACATCCAAAATCTCGCCCATATTTCTCTTTCAAACTGTAATTTTTTTCTGTAAGTTGCATGGGTGTCTATTAGAAATCAACCTACCTTTCGAAGAAATTGAAGCTTTACACACTAATAAAAAAGTGAGCTTGACTGGCTAGTAATTGCAAGGTAAGTGATAAAAAACTGATTGCTTGTAACATGNTAAGATCATCTTGCTGTGATTTTCGAAAGAATTTTTTAAATTGTCGACGAAAAGCACTATTTGAAATAAACGATACGTAGAAACTAGAAGTAAAAAATGTGTATGACAATAAATGAATGAACTCTACTATGGCATTTTCTATAGCAATTTGTAAAGCTGACTTTGACCAATTTTGAGTTATATTTGTATAGATAACTTGAACTGCATATGGGATGCGTGTCATTATAGCAATACTTAATTGTAATATGAACATCAATGTAAGTCGGGCATCGATCTGTTGAAGAATTGATCCTTGTGCAATGATAACTAGTGATCCATTGTTATCAGGAGCAATGCGTCGTTGAATAACGCTTCGGACACTTCATATCAATAAAAAAGCAAGTACAATCATCACTATTGGTGTACCCATTGCTGTAAAAATTGCTTCAACGTAACTATCAAAAGTGGCATAAATGCCTGATCGAGGAGTACATATTCCATTTTTAGTACTATATAAAATAAATCGATGAGAAAAGAACAAAAACCAAAAGAGTACACATGTAATACACATTTTGTAAGCTAAGTCTACACGATTGCTCCACTGACGGTATTCTTAAATGAAAAGAAAACAAAGGTGTAATGGCTTCCTACTTTCACACAATAAAACATTGTCCAAGCTAGATTCAGAGCAATGAAAATTGAAATAAGAATACTTGTTTCTATAAATTAGTACAAGAAATGGTTTCCCTACAAACTCGCCTAGCAACTTAAGCTTAACGGACGAAGACTACTATTCTGTAAGATTCCTCAGATCGCACATGTGTTCACACTAGCAACGATTTACCGTTGGTAATTCTTACGACTTTCCGTTCCAGCTATAAACAATTACAGAATATGTTTACTACTAAATTCGAATTATTTATTAGAAAGAATTAAAATTAAACAAGAAAAAAAAACAGCTTCAGAATATATTTCTCTAATAAAAATTTAACTCATAACTGGGATCGATTTGGACTGTGTGGCTAGTACAGGTGTCGCAGACACATTAGTTTCGAAAAAAAAACCACTGTAATTTCTCGGTAATTATCATATGGGCCTATTCTACGATGAGAGAGTGAGCAGAAAAGCGATTTCTCTATATTTACTGAAAGAAGAAAAACATCAAATATTTGATAACTATTCAACTAACCCAAATATGAATAGGTGATGAGTTTCGATAATTAACATAGACATCAACTATGAAAAATCTCACTGTGCCGATAATTAGGGAACAACCTTTGCTAGTCTTCTATTGGTTAATAATATGAGTAAATTCTATTAGCATGTGGCTAGACGCGCTGACCTCACGACCGATGATAGAAACCCATTCACTGTTTCCTCTTATCTTAATTTTAGTTATTTCTTGAAATGAATAGGAGTAGTTTAAATTTTCCCGATAGAAAAACCATTCTCTTAGAAAAGCGCTAAATTTGTTTGAACACGAAATTTTCCATTCCAATTTAGAACAAAAATCAAAACAAATATTGCATATTAATCCTATATTTAAGTGATATTTGTAAAATAAGGTAACAAATGACGTATGTTAGCATAATATATCCTGCTCAAATTAAAAGAAAAAAAACACCTGCAAAAATTTCTTAGAAAACGCAGTAATACATATTACATTTATTTCGAAAATTCATTAAAATTTGACTTTTCTTTGAGAGGTCATGTGTTTATAAAGAGTGTAACAAAATTATTGAACAAACTTTACTATCAATTTTTTTCCGCTGTCATGTGCTCCCTAGAAAGAATTCAAGTCGTTATTTGAATAGAGAAAATTGTTTCCAATAAGAATATAAGAAAATAAAAACTATTATCAGATTCCAAAAGATAGGAACTCAAGAAATCCATAAGATAAGTGGTTCAAGACCTAGAATAGGTAAACATAGTACTTTTAGACTGCTTAGAACAAACAATTTTCTACAAAATGAATCATCTTTGAAATGTCTTAAAGCTGACATAGACAAATCTTACGGAAACTCTCTCAATTTCCTCTCGAAAAAAATTCTTTCGATCTTCAATTAAAATACTATATCGCAGCCAAAAATACGTCATCAAGCACTCGACAATGTTTCATTTTGTAGAAAATCATTTATTTCAATGTAATCTAAATAAAACTATATTTACCTGCTGAGTATGTTGGAAAACGATGATTTGGATTTTTTGAAATCTCTATCTTTGAAAATCTGATAATAATTTTTATTTTGTTCTATTCTTGTTGGAAATCATTTTCTCTGTTCAAACTGCTATTTGAATTTTATCTAATGCTTAGCGAAGCAGAAAAACATTGAAAATAAACTCTGTTTGGATTATTTTCGTTCGTTAGCAATGTCATCTCATAATATTAAAATATGTAAATCTTGGAATAATGACCTTTCCTAGACCTAATTTTTATATGGCTTACGGAAGTTAAGTGGTTCTAGATATTCTGAAAAAAATGAGCTCTATGGAGATTTGTTTAGAGGGTTTATTAATAAAAACCTATCGTTAGCGATGTGATGGAGTACGAGTCCACAATTTCGTTTCTGTACTTAATAGGATCTATATACGACCGATTTTTTTGTTGAATCTAATTTCGATGAAAAATTTACAATAGATGTAGCTCGAACTGTAGAATGTATCCTGAAGTTTTCAGGTTTCTTTTTAAATGGTTGAAAAGGTACTCGCTAATTACTTCTTAATTAATAGCCAGTTGAAAGAGTCAATATTTTTAAATCAATCTATGCTAAAAGAATTTATTCAGAAAAATAGCTCTTGTAGAGAATAAAAGTTAAATGAAAGCGGTCTATGTCTCGTTTTCTCTATTTTTGCCCATACAATTTAATTCATTTTTTTCATGAATTATTGCTAAAGATTCATAAAATCTTCTAATTTTAACCTTCCAAATATTCAAATTTAATAGAAAGTGTTGTAGAGTCAAATGATGAAATATCGAATTAGTTGATGTTTATTTTGTTAAACTTACTGTTCAAACGTTGTGCAGATAAAATTCGATCAATTGTTGCAAATGAAAACAAACTCAGTGAAACATCATGACTCCAGATGGAGTCAAACTGTCGCAATTTGCAGATAATTTCATAATGTGTAGTTATTGGAATTTGAAATCCTTTTTGAAGTATTCGTGTCAACAATAGAAAATTAAAATAAATAAAATCAGACAGTGCTTCCCATAATAAATATACTGCATAAGCTCGTTTACGAAGTTTTCGAGAACTAAATACAATTATATTTCCAATACAACCAATATTACCTGTCACCCAAATAAATAAGCCAAGACATATGTTCAATTGATAAGGTAGAGCCAAAAGAGTACTACTAACAGTGTTTGATGTCGTATTCATTGTTTATAGATTGATATAAAAAAGAAATACAACACACTATTCTTCAGCTGTTTTAATCTATATTGATAAGAAAAATGAATTTTCTATTTATCCTTGCTAGAAATTTTTTTTAAATAGAATATAATAATATTTTTTCCATACAAAAAAATACATCTGAAGCATATTCCATGATGATAGACGCGTATCTTCATTTATAACCTAAAGTTCATACAAGTGTAATTGATGACAGCAAGTGAAGTAAAATATTCTTTTAACCACTTATTCATGTTTACCAGACATTGCAAAGATGTTTAACGAAGCAACATATCCAATTAGCCAATGCACTTTTCAAGTAAATTTTATTTTGAGAAGAAAAAAACACTTTGCATTTCAAGAAATAAATTTTATAATATGTATTAGAAATTTGGTCAAACCAACTGTAGGCTCGCAATGACTGTCAAAACTATCTGACTAGTAGATAATTTTATTGTATCTCAAAAAATTGGCTGAACTAGAATCAAGGGGGAAAAAGCAGATTTTGGCGTCCAAAATCTTTCAAAATCTTCAAAATCTTTCAAAATCTTTCAAAATCTTCCAAAATCTTTCAAAATCTTTTAAAATCTTTTAAAATCTTTCAAAATCTCTCAAAATCTTTCAAAATCTTTCAAAATCTTTCAAAATCTCTCAAAATCTCTCAAAATCT